ACACACACACACACGCACACACGCACACACACACACACACACACACACACACACGCACACCCAAAGTAACACAAAATGAAGTAGAGTACAAACGCATTCGTGTTGATTTCTATTGCACATTAATTCATGACCAAAAAAAGATGTCAATCCATTATTTTTACACTGTCCTAAAAAAAAAAAAAAATGCAGAAGAAATTGTTGTTTCATTTTAAATGTCATTACATCTGCTCTTGTTTACATAAAACATTAGCAGTTTATTTTGGATTGTGTTCATTTACAGGAAATGAGAACTGAACCATGACAGTAAACCCAATGTATGTACTGAACCGTGACTTTTAGCATGCCATTACACTCCTGGTGTTTCACTGTTATAACTACCCCCCACCCCTCATAAGCAATCTTAATCACAGTGTGGCCCTTTACAGTTTTGACACCCCTAATTTACAAGAATTTGGTGGTGTAACAGCCTCTACAGTATCTCTATCCACACTTTCTTGACATGCTGTAGATAAGGAGACTATATATCACCTGTCCAGGCGCAATTGGCAGGTAGTTCCAAGGATGTCAACCACACCCTCCATCCTTAGCTGCTTACACAGGATGGAGGTGGCAATGAAGCAGCCAGTCCGACCGATTCCAGCACTGCAAACAAAATGACGAAGAGGAATTAATGTGTTCACCTGTAGTCATAACCTGTCGTTCAACCAATGTGGCCCATTCTTCAATAAAGCAAAATGTTTGATATCGTAGCTGTTTTATGTTTTATTAAAGCACCACAATGACTATAAACCGATTTGACGTAGATACCTGCAATGCACAATTATAGGTCCACTAGTGGGTGGGGCCTCCTCCCTGGCTCTTTCCACTTCCTGGACTAGTTCCAAAAGAGGTGGCGCTTTGTCTGGAGTCTTCTGGTCAGGCCATGAGGTGTACCAGTACTGCCGCAGACTCCGCTCCTCATCTCCACACTGGCACGTGCATACACACAGGTGTACAGGCAAATGCACAAACAGGCCCACACAGTGGCATGATTGCATGATACAGATTAACAGATGGGAACAGATTTAATTGTGTCCCTCAGGCAGGAGCACAGTGAAGACTTTCAGATTTTGCTGTCCAGTTACATCCACTGGCTCTCCTTGAGTCTAACAATCATTAACATTGAGACTTTTCCAGTCAGTTTTGCATGTCACCTCAAGGTGAACGGGTTGCTCGTTAGATATTAACTAATAATGTAGTACTTTACAGGAACATTTCAGGGGGCAACACCTTTTTCTATGGGATCACATTCTAAACAATTTTCCTGCTTAATCATTCTAATCGCGCTTCAGAAATCTAGGTTTGAGGCAAGCTATTAGAAAATACTGAAATACAAGCCATGACTAAGTCATAAATAAATCATAGCCAGTTACAGTGTTGGAGCTTACAATTGTATATTATGAAACACATCCATCCATCCATCCATCCATTATCTATACCACTTGCCCAATTAGTATTGCAGGGGAGCTAGAAACTAGGCCCGCAAGAGACGGGTCACATTTCGATAAACAACCATTCACACTCACATTCATACGTGTAGACAAGTTATAGCCTTTACTTAACTAACATGGTATGATGCTGGAGTGTGGGAGGAAGCTGGAGAACATGCAACTCCATACGGGAAGAGATTTAAGCCCAGAACCTGCCAACTGTGAAGCAGGTATCTCTGTGATCCAATGGAAATGTAACTTTGTTTCTTTAAGGTTCTCGCACGTTTTTTTGGAATCTTCAATGAACTTGCAATGTCAGGTCATTTCAGTTGCTTCGATAAAAAAATCGATTGTATTCACAGTAATTAGTTCAATACAAAATGTCAAACGTGTATACGGTTTTAAAAGAACACTATTAAATGACGTATATTTAATCATTTTTAGCTACTGGCTAATAAAACCCCCAAAATCACCATCTCATTCCCTTCCCAATCACATTACATTACAAAATAAACTATCACAATTATGTTTCGTACAGAGATAGGAAGTGGCCTTCTGAAAAGTATTTTACTGTGTTTAATAACTCTGTATAGTATATGAGTTCCACTTTTTGAATTAAACTCCTGCAGCTGAAACATGTTGTTGGAATATGGGGGAAATCAACACAAGGTACGGGGAAAACATGCAAACTGGATTATGATCTGAGATTTTAACACTGAACTGACTGTGAGGCAGGCCCACTAAGGCCTGCTTTCAATTGTATTTCAGGTATTTTCTTTTCTGCAATGCATTAACCATTGCGTGCCTTACCTTCAACGCAAACACCCTCAGACTGTAGTCGTCCTCCTGTGTAACCGTAACAACGGTGATTTCAATCTCCTCGTGGGTCACAGTGTCCTCAGGCCAGTACTCGGCACATTTCTGGAAAAAAAAATCACAGACAAAAACACATAAAATGAACAGCGTGACAGCCGCAGTGACTGATCACAAACTCATACAATATTATCATCACATTGCAGCAAACCTCATTTTTCTCCTCCAAGTTAGTGATCATCACAATGATTGGGGTCCTCTCCTGCCACACCATCCTCCAGAAGTCCCCCACCGTGTTAACCGTCGGACCCTGCGTGGCGATGTAAGCACGCTCTTCACCCCCATAACCCTGGTTAAAATGGAATCCTTTTTTGAATAATTGTGATATTTTGTTGTGGAAACCTTTATAAAAATGAACAGGCAATGATGAATGAACATTTTGCTCACAAAGACATTTGACTTACTCTGAGATAATTGCCGTTGATGTATGTAGTGAGGAAATCGTCTTCCTCTTGTGACTTTAAAATCACTCGGCTGTGTGTGTCTGGAGGTAGAATGTGTCAACAACAGACAAAGGGAAATGAAAAAGACACGCTATACTTCCCCCATCCTTCACAAAAAAAAAACCCCAAAAAACTTACCTTTACAAATCCCAACTTAATGATACTATGTGATGTGATGAGAATTTAACAATGTCCTTATTTTGGTTGCTCTTCCTTTCAAGGTAGGTCACACATCATCTCTCAGTACAATTCAGTGCTGTCTTACACAAATGTAAAAAAACCACCACAACACCAAAAACAGTTTTTTTTCTTCTTCTCACTTCCTGGGCCAAGTTAAATTTGCTAGATTCCGGTGCGACATAGTCCGGGTCAGACATGAGCAACTCTTCCGTTTGGACAAACGCCGACATGGCTCTGCGACAGTTGAACGCAGTTCTTTTACTGCACTGCATTTGTATGAGAGTAGTGTAATCTTCATCTATAGCTACCGTAAAAATCATGATCATTCTTTCTTATAATATTAATATCATTATACATTATGTTGGATCCAGCCCTACTCACTGGGTAAGATGGTTTTGTAGCGGTTCTTTCTCACAAGCCCTGGGTAGTTGTACTCCTTAGGATCCACAAAGTTCATGGGCGTTTCCTACAAATGGACAAACCAGAAACAGGAACAATGGGCGATGCCGTCCATGCCATAAGATAATGAAGTGGTGAAGATTCAGTTTTCGAGACAACTTGTGATGTGTAGCAATTGGAAATGACTGAGGGTTGTGTGACTTGTTTGCAGTTTTGAACATATCTCTGATTGCCCAGCAGACAGTAGAATCATCTGTGAGTTTGTATGTAAATGAAGCTGATATCTATCCTTCTTTCGCCCACTAACAAACTGAGGCAAAGCTTACGGGTGTACAGCGCTCCATTGGGTGTACACTGTGAGCGGGTAAGTCCTTGCTTCTTTGTGTATGATATCTGAAACGTGTAGGTGGGTGAGCTGCTCTTGTTGCACTCACATAGAACTCAGCCTGCAGGCTCTGGTCATCCATGGCCCGTGTGTGTAGCATGGCAGGGGTGAGGATGTGTGTTCCCTGCCGGAGGTACTCTTGGGCTGACTGGTCTCTAGGGGAAAGCTGCGCTCCGTAGCCGTAAGGCTCCGTGCAGCCCGGTGTACACATGTCCAAGGTCAGTGAAACATTGGAGCCTCTCCTGTGTGAGATATGCAGATTAAAATAAAACACCTACATAATATGTGACAATTTCTATGCCTGTGCGTTCCACAAATTCAAATCAAAAGAGTAACAAACCTCTCCTGAAGCCCCACTGGTGTGACTGTGAGAGTTGCCGCATCTCCCTCTGGCTTGATGTCAGTTCCTATTTCAAAGACTGGAGTCTGAGGCACGGCATCCAGATCCATCAGGTCCTCTTGGGCATCCGTCCACTCTGACAGGGTGAAGGAGGGCTGGCGGCTCACAGATTGACGTCTATCTCCAATGTCCCTTGAAGTGTTTCCCGATGACCATAAGCCAGTGCCGTAACGCCACCTACACACCATGTGGATAACCTGAAGACAGATGAGTGGAGGAGAAGCGCGATATGTAGCTGCTGGTCAGTCAAGCATACTGTTCCAAGAACAAGAATCTCAATAATGCCTTTCGAGTTACATAAATAAAGCATAAATTGGTCATAGAAGGTGATCTGATCTTCATCTGCAATAATTCATAACAACAAACACAGTTAACCATAAATAAAACCACACAAACAATTACTGAATTACAGAAAAAGGATGTGAACCTTTTGATTGAGCAATTAGCTGATCCTCTGATAGCAGCAACAAACTCAGCCAAATGTTTCCAGTATTTGAAGGTGATCCCTGCACAATGGTCAGGGAAAAATTTGGATCGCTTGACAAAAATCTTTCAGGATCTTAGTTGGGTTACTCCTGTCTTTTAGGTCGTTGTCTTGTTGCGTCTTCCATCCTCTGTTGAGCTTCAATTGGTAGGAATCTGGTTTTAAGTTTTAAAATGTCTTGGGCTGGCAATCTGGGCTTTGAGCCTGCTGCTTTTGCGCTCTTGATTTTCAACCCTGAGATTTTGGCTGTGTGGATTTGAACCTTGGGCGGTTGTCAAGCCCAGTCAAATTTGTTTACATAGGCTTTATTCACAAAAAAGTCTCAAAAGGGCTGGAGATGCCCACAGTTGACCAATATTAACAACATCGCCTGATCGTAATGCCACATGAGGGCATGAAAAACTAAAAAAATTTAAAAACTTGAGAAGGGGCCGCAGATGGGAGAATTTTGCTTTACAATGTTAGTTAGAACAGTGTAGGAATCCATTTGATAAGATGAAGCACTGTAGGAAGAAGTCACTGTGGAAACCGTGTCGGACCACCACAGATCATATCAAAACCGAAATCGCAACCTTCTAAGGCGCAAACCTGCCTCACCTTTGAAATAGCAGAATGTCATATGACAGGAGTGGGCAAAACTGTGGTTACTGTTCGTGTTAGTTGATCTTAATCTCAAGAACATGGATTAATTTTGTGTATTTTTTAGGATTTTTGTTAGAGAAAAGAAAAAAGTTTCATAATTTTGTTATGTTTTGTTGTTTAATTATTTGTTCATAGCACAGAATGGAGGTCTGTTACCTCAGAGACTATATTGTTTACAATCATGTATAATAAAGTGTTCTCATAAATAATCCACTTTTTGCAATCAAAATCTCTTCTTGCTTTCCCTTCTCCTCCCAAAAAATCGAGTCACATATCAAACCGGACACCAGAAATGGAGATAGCAATCAAATTTTAATTTGGGGGTATTACTACAGTCCAAATGCACAATTTATTTATTTTTTAATTTTTTGCAAGAGTAAGTATATTGAATGCAGTGATAGTCAATTGTCCTGTATTAAAACACAAAAGATACATAACACATGCACACAAAAATCATATCAATTGACCAATTGCCCATCAATTTGCATTAAATAAGGTTACCCATAATAATCAGCCAATGATGGAAAAAAGACCCAAGTGTGGAATTTGGCATACAAGTGTGTGATACAGTTTGTGCATACCATAAAAACACAGATGGCCACGCCAATGCCTGCAGTGACGTAGATGATCCATGCTTGCTGTGTCGTGTTTACCACATGCCTCAGCGCCACGGACTGACAGGAGCGGTGACAAGGACAAAGGATTACACACTGGACGTATGATATCTTTGCATTCTGTTTCATTTAGAAAAAGGGCATCCTTTGTTCAGTAAACTGCTTGCTGACAGAATATCTGTATTACCTAGTACATCCCATATTTCTGTGAACTTAAGTCTGGTATAGCTGGAATTCTGTAATAAGTCACCTATTGATTATCTTCTCCTCAATTAAACTGTGGTACTGAGGTAAGAAATAAAATGTCCAAATAATTAAAGTCTAATGAATAAGCTGCAGTTGATTTACATGCAGTTAGATAGTCTATGAAAGAAGAACAACAATATTATCATCTTTTTTTCAAACTTACATCCATTCCGAATATCGGGTGGCAGGGTAAGACAAACCCGAGACAGAAGTCGATGACCTGGAGAGCTTTATAGATAGAGGCAAATGGCCCATTTCCTTCCACCACAAAGAACATCCAGTACCCCTGAGAGGAAAGAGGGAAGGCAGAGTGTCACTGCCCATCATTCACATGTGCGCAGCACCAAGGTTGTTTCACATTCACATGTGCTCAGCACCAAGGCTGTTTTTCGGTGACAAGCATGGAGCGAAGAAAAGATCATGGCCAATTACACAACCACTGAAATACAGGAAAATTGTCCAAGTGCAGCAGCCTTGTGCCCTAATCAGTGGGGCATTTTCGAGGCCTCTCTTATTTCAGCATATAGTGGTACCGTCTACAAAGGAGCTTTATATACCAATTTCTATACGTGCTTGATTATAATGCTGCTTATTGTGGTCATTTGGCGATCAAAATAGTGTGTCAAATTCTACTGCGCAAATCCTGCAAAAGAGGGACTACATTTTGTACTGCGTGTCAGTGTATCGCATGGCACACAAAATAACCGGACAACCATTTACACTCACATTCACAATCTTACTCTGTAGCTGAACCCAAAATACATTAAAAAGTATCTTTTGGGGTGTTTCATTCCATACCCACTAACATTGATTCACATACCGTGACTTGGGAGACAAAAAAGAGGGTGACCCAGTAGTGGAACTCAACCACCAATGCGTAGACTTTGTGCAAAAACACTTCTTCCTTTTGTGAACTTTTCCCCTCCGTGCTTCCGTCTTTGCTTCCTAGCAAGCCTTCCGTCTTAGTGGCTCCATCAACTCTCTTTCCTGTCTTTGTGGGCTCATCCAGCCAAACGGGGTCCTCATCAGGCCTGAGGAAGATGGAGTCCTCGGTGTGGGAGCGGGTGGAGCTGCTCAGGCGGCGGGTCATGATCCTCCTGTTGAGAGAAGGCTCCTGTGTAGTGGGAAGGATTTGACACATGTACACTGCATGCACATAAGAGCTGAGGAAATGGAGACCAGTTAAAACCAATATAGCAATATACAGAACAGAACTGTGATGCCACTGAAAACAAAATATGGCGATGCTATAATGACCGCATATAATTAGAATATCTGTCAGCATACCTCAGAGCTCAAACCAAGATGACCCATTAACAAAAGTGAAGTCTTAACAGGTTGCGTCCTGGTTCATAGATGATGACAAATGTTGATTCTGGACAGTTGATTGTTCCTATAAGCAGTGTTGCCGCAGTTACCTTGAAAAAGTAACTTAGTTCCACTACTAGATACTTGACTTTTAATTACTTTGTTACATTCCTGATTACAGTATTGGATTTTAAAAGTACATTCAACAGATGCCGGCAACCTCGTTTAACATACAATTGACAACCAGTTTGGCCAATACTTCATTGGAAGCACATTCTAACAGTGGCACTTCAGAATCAAGGTTTTTTTTATTTTTATTTTTTTTATTTATTTTTTAAACAAAACATCAAATCTACTTGTTTTGATAAAAAACAACCAATAATAAATTTATATAATCGTCTTTCTAGACTCAACATATGTTTTTATTTTTAAGGCACTCTGTTTTGGCCTCAAATAGGCTTTAACTGTGAATATTGTCATGGCAAACTTAACATTTATAATGCACTGTACACTGTTTATAAATATAAGAATTACAATTGGGGACCTCATACAGTCACACAGCCCTGTGGGTCTTTCTCTTTAAGCTTGAATGTGATACAGAGATTTTTTTTTTTGACTGGCAATACTTTTGAAGCAGGATAACACTTGTCAACAGTGCACACCGTGTGCAACATACCTTAATATTTTAGCTTACACAAACTCGAAATAGAGAGTGGATTGAAAAAAACTTGAAAATACAAATCTCTCTCCTTCCTCCAGTGGCATTTTTCATGTGGTCTCACTGAGACATGGCGTGAATGTTATCTTACTCTCCCAGATGGAAATGCAAATTGTAAAGTCATAGAATGCTTCACTTCAAGCAGTAAACACTCCAGTTCCCCTTTCTCATGTATTCTATAATAAGTTCTGTATATAATGTATCTTTAACTAGAAATGGGGTCTCCTGTATTTTATTATTTGTGAATTATTAGTTTTGTTCCACATACATGGGTGAGGGAAAACCATGAAATATATGTCATTCCCATTCAAGTGATTGGTATGCTAAGTGACAGTTTCCTGTGAGCTGATGATGGTTCATGAGGGTTTATTGCTTTGCAGTCATGAATTGTAACATTGCACAGATTACGTCACTGAGAAAAGGAACACGTTTGATTAGTTGTTGTTTTCATGATCGGAATCACAGATTACAAGGCCATTGAGACTTAAACAGTAAAATAAAATTCCTGCACCTTTATAGAGATCCTGGCCAAAATTTAATGTAAAAATAAAAAGGTCATTAAAGTGGTCACATGTGGCGTCACAGAATATTGCACATCATTTTTAAACATTGGTGTGAACTTTTTAAAAATATTTGATGAAAATTTTTAAATGTTTCCATTCTTTGTCAATTCCAAAAAATGTATTACAGATTTTTTTATGAAAATAAAATCATAATCATCTTAATTTCTGCTGTCTTTCTTTGTTGCTTAGCTTCTGAAATACAAAATACTGGACACAATACAATGGTTTCCAGTTCAATAGCCTACTCATTGCCTCCTTGTGTTTGTCAGTTTGTGTGTGATGGGTGTGATATTTGAAATAAGAGAGAACGAGTGAGTGATATAGGAAGCAGACCGGGGGAAAAAAAAAATCCCCCCTCCCCCCCAAAAAAAGCGCTGTGTCTGTGTTTTCTTACCATTTTCCTTCTTATTATTATTTGGGGGTTTTCATTAAAACCATGCTCAAGGAAAGTCCAAGGACCAAACAATTAAGGCTTTTTAGGGGTTTGTAGGTGAACAAAACATGGGCGCAATGATGACCAAACACACAGAGACACACACACACACGCACACACACACAAAGAGTTCAACCTATTCCACAGGCGCATTCAAATGCAGCTAAGTGGCTTGGAGTGGATCTCATCTGCAGATGTCTAGCATAGATTGGACTCTATTATGTGAGTGTATGTGTATGTGTGTGAACAAGAAAAAGTGAGAAAGAAAGCAGAGAGAGAGAGAGAGAGAGAGAGAGAGAGAGAGAGAGAGAGAGAGAGAGAGAGAGACAGAGGCAGAGAGACAGAATGTGTGTACATGTGTTTGCGTGTGTGTGTGTGTGTGTGTGTGTGTGTGTGTGTGTGTGTGTGTGTGTGTGTGTGTGTGTGTGTGTGTGTGTGTGTGTACGTGTGTGAGTGAGAGACTCTCAATTGTGGAGAGATGAGTCAGGGGTAATGTGTTTACAGCCCTGTCCGTCGCCTTGGCAACCATGTGGCTCTCATCCCTGTCATTCGTTCTGAGCATGATCATCTACAAAAAGCAGACAATCGCATAAACGCATGCATGCATGCATGCATATATGTACACACACACAGACACACACACACACAAACGCATGCATCACCCTATTGTCTTGTTCCTGTCATGATCCACTCTGAGTTTGATTTTGTTTTTTCTTTCACTTAGCTCCTCCTTTATTGTTCCTCTCTCCCATAGGCGGCACAAGCAAGTAGGCGCCTTACTATGAGCTATCAGCTCTGCTCTGCTGCGACACCAGGAAGACGCCATATCGCTCCTTTGTATTGCTCATTTGTAGTGCTGTGTTCTGTCTGGCCTCATTATTGTGTACGGCTCATTAGTTGGATGTTTTTTCTTCTCCTTGTTCTTCCCTTTAAGTGATGGCATTTTCCTCGTATTCTTCCTTGCTTTACTCCTGCCTTGTTTAGTTCAGATTGATTTGCATACTTTGTTGATTGCTCGTGTCCATACTCGTCAGTGGCCCTTTATGTTTTTTTTCCCTCCTTGTTAATGGTACTTTTTTTTTTTCCCAATTTTCTCCTTTCTCATTTTGTGGAACATACGCTATGCCGACTTGCCAGTAGCAGTGTCCCATATACCCTCGGAGCTAAGTTATTGGGGGCTTCGTGCTCGTTGGAGTAAAAAGTCCTAGGTGAGGATCCATACAAAGCAACACTCCCTATGATGAATACAATTTTTTAACACCTAGCCCAGACATGAGTCACCATGCAGGTCCCACCTCTGTAGTCAGGACTGGAGGTGGAGCTCAACGGAAAACGCTTGGTGCCCGGTTGTGTCAGATTATGGTCCGCATTGCCGGCAGTAAGTCATTATTTGCCATAAAGGTCTGTTAATGACCATTATGGAATTTCTCTGCACAGCCCAGGCATTGATGCTGGCCTGGTTGGCTGGCCTCACTATTACGTCTTTGCTTTTTGCAGATGTGGTGTGCTGTGATCTTCAACTTTTGCTCGAATCGTCCTCTCAGGGTCGGGAATGAGATCACTCAATCAATGAAGTCAAGTAGCTTGGGGACTTGGGGAAGAAAGAAGATCGACAGGCGGATTGGTGCCGCGTCTGCAATGATGCAGACTCTGCGTTGGTCTGTCGAGAAGTTATGGTGCCTTTGCGTAAAGCTCTCTAGTCAGTCGTTGATGTATGTTCTCGTCGATGACCAAAACAACAACATCATCGGTATGATCGAAATGAGTTTCCTCTTTTCAGAGTCCGAGCTTTCCGTTTGAGGTCGGCTGAGAAGCAGAATAGATCCGAGGTGGCTCAGGCATCTGTTTAGAATGCATCTTCTGCTGCCTCTCCTCCACCATTTGACCACGATATGAAACAAAACATTCCACATCCCGTCAAATACTCTGGAGAACTCAGCACCGATATGGTCAGTGCTTGCAGTGTCATTGTTTACTGTGAAGCAGACATTTGCTTATTCCTAGGACAAAACTATTTTGCAAAAGGATTTTTACTCCTTGTTAGTATTACCTTCTTTTGTGTTTCATTGGAATAACAACTCTTCATGCTATGCCTGCGATGGGGTCCAACCAATCGGATATTGACGCCGTACCATTAATAAAGGTGTTTTGCTTTGTACTGCATGCTTTGTGTGGCTGTTTGACAGTAAAAGATTGTCACCTCGTTTGCTATTTTGCAATTTTTTTTAATTATTATTAGTAATCAAGACAATCAAACAAGACGAAAAATGATTACCACTTGAAAGATAATATTTGGAAAGCAGCCAGCCGGTCGCATGGCTCACTCACTTAAGGTAGAGCGAAGGAAAGGATGGCGTGGGAGTCAGATCACATGATGAAGAGAAATCCTGTATCTTGCGCCAACCAGTCAATGTTGGCCATTGAGCAGCAACCTGTAAGGCAGAAAATGTCAGAGATTGTACGACGATGTTAGATATACTAAGGAATAAAGACATTGTTCGACAGTCTAAATACAGCCCGAATCGTGTCCCGAAATACATATTGAAGCCTCATTGTGACTCAAGCACTCGCAGTCCTGCTGAGGCAGGGTTAGGAATCCTCCATCTGAGTAGCACTCTTGTCAGCTGCCAGCTGTGCGTTCATGCTCGGGATGTAAGGTGACATAGTAAACTGTTAATACTGTATGTCATCCTCCTCTTCCTTCGCTTCCTTCACTCTCCTTCCCGAAGAGGCAGAGATGAATCCAGCCGGACACCCTCCCAAAACATTCTGATTGCTCAGTTGCAATTTGTATGCATGAGCTCTCTTTCTGTCGTCTCCCTCTTTTCCTTCCGTGCCATACTGAGAACCAATAGCATGAGCTCTGTGCAAAATGAGACCAAGTCCGTGTGTGTCTTTATGTGTGTGTGTGTGTGTGTGTGTGTGTGTGTGTGTGTGTGTATATATACAGGTAATGTAGGCAGTGAAGCTGCACCTCTGAGTGTTTTTCTGTTTTTCTCTCTCCGCTAGCTGTGAAGGTGGGTTTGAAGTGATGACACCAGTTCGCCCAGCCTGTGGCCATGGCAACACGCACACATACAACATGCATACATGCTTAGTATACACGCACGCAAATGCCGGGGAATATTGTGTGTAGGAGGAACTGTGAAATTTCGCACGGCGCAGATGGACAGGTGAGTGGATGCAGGGATGAATGGGAGGTGAAGCAGTCTGAGGTAGTGATGCATTGAGGCTGGCGTTTTAGTATCCATGGTAACCCATATATTATAGTGGGCTCTCACACACCCGTACTGTGTGTGTGCGTGTGTGTGTGTGTGTGTGTGTGTGTGTGTGTGTATGTGTGTATATATACAGGTAATGTAGGCAGTGAAGCTGCACCTCTGAGTGTTTTTCTGTTTTTCTCTCTCCGCTAGCTGTGAAGGTGGGTTTGAAGTGATGACACCAGTTCGCCCAGCCTGTGGCCATGGCAACACGCACACATACAACATGCATACATGCTTAGTATACACGCACGCAAATGCCGGGGAATATTGTGTGTAGGAGGAACTGTGAAATTTCGCACGGCGCAGATGGACAGGTGAGTGGATGCAGGGATGAATGGGAGGTGAAGCAGTCTGAGGTAGTGATGCATTGAGGCTGGCGTTTTAGTATCCATGGTAACCCATATATTATAGTGGGCTCTCACACACCCGTACACACACTTAGACACAGGCTCAAACAGAAGAGAAACAGTGTGCAAGTTGTCAAACAATACGGCTTCTCTTTGCTTTTAGTCCTCAAGGTAAAAGTCGTAGTGTTTGTCATAGTTCTTTTGGCTTGCTTGTGTTTTATGTTTGACTTGTGTATCACACTATTATAATCAGATGACTAAAAAACTAAAAAAATTAACATCACCCTATATTACTTGTGGTGGATATGAAAAACAAACAGGGTATGGTGATAAAAATGAAGTAAGAGTACTGAATATGTTTTGTTTGTTTTTATTATAATTTAACTTCAATGTCACTTTACCTTCACAGACAGAAACGCGTGCACACATGCGCAGCCATATCTGTTGTATACAGTTAACACTGAAATTATTCACACTGTGGGCAAATTTAGATGCTACATTTAAAGTACATTTTATGTAGGGATAGATAGATAGATAGATAGATAGATAGATAGATAGATAGATAGATAGATAGATAGATAGATAGATAGATAGATAGAGTCCTCTGCCTTCATCTTCATATATACATTTAAATTTATATATATTCTATTGATCTGCACTCATTAACACATCAAAGTGAGTGCAAACGAAACCCTTTAGTTACCGGAATCCTTGTCTATGGGCAGACATTTCATGAACAAGGGGAATTACTGTCATTATTTTTCTCTTTGGGTGACAGATGGCTCATGTTTTAATGGATGTTCCTGATGATCCTTCTTCCTCTGTCTGGAAAATAATGGAGGCATAACAGCATGTCACCATTCTATTTTTATATTAGGGCAGTGCTTTCCGAAGCTCTGGCATACAGGTTTTACTAACCATTTCTAGAGGTTTTAATTTTTTTTTCAACAGGGGAAAAAATTGTGGGACATGAACCATTAACAAGTTGCATCCAGTATCGAGATATGAACTTTACGGCTAGCTTTCAACTTGCAATATTTCAGTTAAAAAATGGCATGTGGCTGTCCTGTGCCCTGAACAGAGAGCCGACATACTAACAATCAAGCCAAATTGAGCCGTTTCCCTCCCGCTATGATCAGTCAGCAAAAAGCAAAGGTTTGATTCTCTGATGTTTCTGAAACACAATCCTGACTAATTTTCCTGTGGTGTGATATGTGTTCAGAGTGATTTTTCCTCAATGATCAGATGCTCAGAATATTGTCCAACTGTTAAATCTGTTCATAATTTCCATATGCAAATCCTTATGTGTGAGGCAAAACACACCAATAGCAAATTAGGACCCTTGCTGAAGTTGACACTGTTGCATGACAAAAGCAGAGCAGCACCTTGGTCGTGTTGAGTGCTTGTATCTGTCACGATGCGAGGTAGTGATGGACCCCCAAAAGCAGGCAAGAGGGAGGAGCACGGTGTACTTGACAAATTGTATTAAAACATAGAGAAAACTAAATCCAGAACAAACACAGTCCAAAGTATCAAACAAAAATCACGACTGAAGCTAAAACATAACATGACCGAAACATGACTGAGAACAAACATGACAGTAGCAAACGCAACCGATGACCCGACACTGTGCAGGGAGTCCTTTTAAAGCAATAATTAGATAACGACCAACAGGTGTGCAGCTGCATGGAGAGCCCTACAGTGCCACCTAATGGTCACAAACAGAATCAAGACAGTATCAAGTCATTCACACAATAAAAATGACAAGACCAGACTCACATCTTCCATTTTTCTTCTTCTACTACGACTAATATTACTACAACTACTACTATCCTCCTGACTACCAGGAAAAAAAATGTTGTCCAATTACATTTATTTTGACATTCCCCAATCTATGTGAAGTAATTGGACTCCTCCAAAGAAATTTTTGAAATCCCACTACATTTTTTAAACAGGCTCAAATACACTTAAAACAACTCAAACAACACTTTAACGTGTTCATAAGAGTCTTATAATTAAAATGCCAACAGCATTTCAAGACAAAATGTGGTCGATAAAAAGTATTACTTTTCCTTTTCCCATAAAAAGTGCTTGCACTGAGGGAAGCCATTTTCTTACTTTTTCTAACCCCTACAAATTTGGTATCATTGGAAAGCACTGAATGTCCTCTTTAGAGTAACAAAAGGAGTTAATGCGATTGGAGGCACTGGGTGGGAGATATTTAGGTTCACAAATGTCCTCTACAGAGGACAAATTTGAACTACTGGTAGTCAGGAGGATATGACTACAACTCTTCCTTTCTTCTTTGTATTTTACATCTGTCCGGATGGCCTGTTGCACCATGGTGCCTCTCACAGGCCAATATTGGTACTACAACAGATAGCTTGAGCAAACACACACATTGCGATTTTATTTATTTATTTTTTTGTCTGGATGATTCATTGTTTTCATGTTTAAGTAACTCAAACAGTTACTCTCGGTTTAATTTGACTATATTTCCTTGTTCCGTGTGGGGGAAATTAAAAAAAAAAAATTACCTTTGAAGTGATGTATTATAGACAGTAACATACTTTTTACTTATTAATGGTAGTCTTTGGAGTGCTTTCCCCAGTGTGAAATTAAATGACAAACAAATCTGTTAGTTGCCGATTTCTGCAAGTGTGTCAGAGTAAGCTGTTTTGCACTTCCCCCACCATCCCCACTGTTACATAATAGTGGTACTAATTTACATAATAACCACTCCCACAGAGAGCTTTCACTCCATAAAATGATCACTTCAGCTGGACAAAGATCCAAAGCAACTTTCAAGAGATGACCGGAGTTTGTCCACTAGAATGTACAGTTTAATACACCCGCATCCCTTACGTGCACGAAACTCCTTCTATCATGGTTAGCATTGCTTTAAACAAAAAGCTCATACATGAATGGACTGCAAAATTGTTCACACGGTATGTGGTTGGTGATTTGTCCATATACCACATATAGTAGACGGCATAGTGTGGGAACTGTTGCATTTTTGAGTGAAAATTGAAATGGGAATGACATCCATGGTCACCAATGGCCCTGCAGTATATGGAGTGATGTACAGTACATACTCGCTCACTTGCATAAGACAAAACCAACCACCTTAAAACGGAATAATTTTAGCAATACCAGAAATAGGGTGTGTTGTCCCGCAATTTATGATCCTTGATATGCTATTAAAATAACTGGGAACCATTTGAAAATTGTGTGAAACGCAGCATTTGTCTCCTGGTTCCACTGGACATTCCGTTGAATGAAAAACAGCGGCATCTGGAACTTTTAATGTGGCAACGGTCCCCTTGCTCCAAATACGAGTCATCAGAGACTATCTCTATTGCTTCAGGACTAAAATGTACAGGTACAGCGCTAGTTCCTTTTTCATGCTGACTCAAAGTGTCAAGTGTTCTGTTGAATGCCAAAGAGGAAATCTTCCTGAAAGTGATGATAGAATGGAAACATGAGATTGAGTCACCAGGGCCAAGACCTCCCTCATTGACTGCTTACTAATGATCATTAATACAAACAGTAGCTTACAAGAAATGACCTTGAAGTTGAAATGTGACGTCCTGCCGCGCATCGTGGGCGCAGATACCCAATATTAGTTTACTAGACTCAGACTTTCTGCAGCAATTATGGGAATAAAAAAAAAATCTCATCCATATCACATGTAAACATGCAATTCAGCCGAAGCTGTACCACATGAATAATTAAAATATGCTGCATAGCCAATGGATTTACAGGCTGAAGGAGCTAAATCTGGATTCCCGCCAACAGAAAATTGTATGATATGAGTGCGCTGCATCACAACATCGATGGAAGAATGGCATTCCCAGGCCGTCATTCATACTTAGACAAAAGGCCATTCATATCACGTTCGTATCTACGGTGTGCGCGAGCAACCACACAAAGCAGAGAGGGATGGATTAGTAATGAATCACCCGGGGAGGTGGACTGTTGCATCTCTCGGTGGTAACTCCCCCATTGTCTCGCACACACAC